AACTTTTAGAAAATTCTATCTAGGAGGTCGGTTTAGAAGGCCACTCTTAATAGAAGGCCACCCTAAAAAGTTTGATCCGACGGGACACAAGAGAAAGCCATGCCCTTCTATTCTGGGGGGGGGTTTACTCCACATTGTCATGCATAAACAAGAAAAGAAGTGAAAAATATTTTTTTGTTTTCAGTCGGATTTGTGTGAAAGTTCATGTGCATCAAAGTTTCCCGGAGAAGAGGCTCGTAAAGTGTTCTTTTGCTGTTAATGGAATACTTTATACATTTTTGTATTAACACTACTCCTCTTCCTTTTTCTTCCAGTCTTACAATAAATAAAAGACGGACAGGAAACCCGCCCGACCTACCTTGTTAAACTTCGATGCCCACGCTTCATGTTTCTTTTTCTCGCCACAATAGACATAGATAGAGTTGATTTGTAGAAGAGCATGTACCAGTGGAACGATTTCCTGTCCTAAGTGACCAGAGACAATGAAAGTAATTCGATCCTGTGTCGATCCTTGTATGTATTCTTGACATTCCTCCACACCTTCGAATGTTCGAATGTGGTTTATGGACGATCGAAGCTCCTTCTGCGCTTCGACATTCTCCTGTGAGGAGTTCACTTCAGCATCAAGCCAAAGGAGAGAATAGGTTTCAAGATTGTCACTTTGAGTTGATGCTAATGCTTTTTGTACACCCGCAACGTTGGTTGTCATAATGATTTTCGTTGTATTTGTGCTGCTTCCCTTGCACACTATAAGTTAACTCAAGCATGAAAGCGAACAAAATAATATCATCTACCTGTCATTTCTCTCCACACGCTGAGCATCGTGACAATGTTTGTTTTCGCTTTGTATTCTTTGTTTGCTCAGGAAAATTAGTTTTCAAAAAATTCCATTTTCACTCTTCTCTCGCAGAATGAAAAAGAGAAGGAAAGAAAATTACGCTTTTCGATATAATCGTCCTGAACAAACAAAGAATGCTAGGCGAAAACAAGCATCGCCACGATGCTCAGCGTGTTCGCACACCCCTGTTTCGAGTCATTTCAGGTCCACTACGTGTGTGGAAGCCTAAAAACATCCGGGACATGTTCGTAGCTCCCAGACGGTGAGATTTCAAAATCTGCGGATGGTTCTAAACGAAAGAGGACACTTTCATCTATCATCCGCGTGCGCCTGAGGTACGGAACGGATAATGCGTCTCCATATTTCGCGTCAGTATGAAACATGAAGTAATAATAAAAATGAATTAGTAACTGATTCCACTCTCTCTATGTAAATAACGTGAATCAGATCGATTAAACGTGTCCACTGACTGTAGGTCGATTTTATTCTAGCGCAACTAAGGACAATCCAACTGCACAACAACTTCCCTTAATCATCCGCGCTTACTGTATTTTTCATAGATAGAGAAATGTCCGGTCTATCCAACTGCGAAATGTCGATTTTTCCCGAGTAAAAATGCTTCAGGTACGCTTAAAATACTGTGAAAATTAAAGAGCCTCTTCTTATGCTATATTACATCAGTAGATATTGGCGAATGAATAAGAGTTTTTGTTTTTGTTGCACCATAAGTTAAGCAGACAAAGTCATAGGAAGAAACAAGAATATATAATGATGATAAAACTTTCTCTCATCTACCGTTTCGTGATCTGAAGACAAGCTCGGATGAAAAAGATAGTACCTGCACAGTAGAAAATGGCTCCCCTCAAAAAAGGACGTTTTTGTCTTACATTCGATCTTGCATGCTACACTGTAAAAAATAAAGTGTGTAAATGACATACCTAAAGTGAACTCCAAGTCGATTCACAGTGATCGTCTAGAATGTGTGGTGTAGGTGTGTAAAATACACATTGAGATGTGACCGTCTATGTTTACACACTGAGACCAATAATAAAGTCTAGTTGTCTAAACCGTCTGTGCTGGAAATGTCTCAAATTCGTCCATCCGTTGTTCAAATCTATCACATGACGATGTTTTTCTTTTCACTACCTTTTCTTATCCGTTTTAGCTCGGAGTGATAGTATATATATTTTCAAAGACGGTGATCATGATTCTGAAATCATTTTCTCGTTTGATGCAGTAGTTTGCGAGACAAGCGGAAAATAAGAATATTTTTTAACACACTGAGTTTTCTACACACTGACGTTGACTGTCTAGGAAAAGTACACACTTTTCGATGCCGAGTGAACGTTTAGGCCATTTTACTCACCTAGTAACTCACTTTATTTTTTACAGTGCACTTTCAGCAAATGTTTACCATATCAAAGAGATTGGTTTTTCCATCTCTAACCGTTTCGGGGTTTTCCAGAGTCCGAGGTGACCCTCACCCACCCTTCACTGTGGGACACGTTTTTTAAATACACATCACACCAACGGAAGCAACATCTAAACGCAACAATTATTTGACTTCCTCAATGTTCTTTTTCAAAGATATAAGATGGACAGTTTATAGAACTTTTTTATCATTCATATATAGTTACTTAAACCATCTGGTTTATCAATTAGAACCGGAGGAATTTTCTCAAGTATTTTCAATCCTAATTGGGTCATTGCTAACACGAGTATCTCGTCAAGTACCTGTACAACGCTACCGCCGCTCACTACCACCTTCGATTCGTGAAGAGATTAAAGTGCTACATAGGCTTCGTAATCGTTATTATAAGAACAAAAATCGTAGCCTTTGGTTATATGACCTGTATCAAGAACACAAACATTATGTAAATACTTTAATTGAAAATCACAGAACCGATCAATATCTTAGATTCCTGGATTTGTGCTCTTCTAGTGAATTAGTCGGTTGAGATGCCTTGGTGTTCAGTGTACTAGTTGTAGTTTGCGTAATGCTGGCGGTAGTGCTTGTCGAAACATTGGCGCGTGCATACTCCTCCCAATCGGTAAAACATTTCTATTTGTCAAAACTAAAATAATCAGTTGAGAGACACACACACACACCATGATCTTTACTCGTACAGTTATCATATCAATAGATGGAAATATAGATGTATTTGCCCAGAGCTTACTGAATGAGTTCTGCTTTCCGGTCAATTCGACTATCATAATACCTAAAGCGTTTGAGAAATGCTTCTCGTACTTCGTAAAAATTATATATTAGGATTAGTAGTAGAGGATGAGTATGGGTGCGTTTTAAGTGAGTTGACTGCGGGGATGCGACACCTAGCGAGAGTTATATGTCGGTTTTTTTCTAGTTTCATGTTTAGCATTGATAGCCAAAGGGCAGAGAATGTTGCATAAAGTGCATATTGACGATGAAATATGCGCTTCACTTCAACCAATCGCATCAAAAACTGTTAAAAATCGATCTCTCAATCATTCTCAATATCTACAACACCGTGATCGTTCACATTTTTTCTATTATCTACGTCAAAAGAGAAAACAACGTCATTTTCAACATGGTCGAATTCCTACACATCGTCAACAAGAACACGTAAAAGAAATAAAAAGAAGTAATCAAGAACAAAAAAGAGAAATATTTTTTCCATATATAAATGGTTCATTAAAAAATGGAAATAAATTAATTTCAGCAATCATCGGATCATGAATCGCTCGTAACATATCGGGCAAAATATAAAGAGTGAAACAGATGAGGTACGTCTTCGCTTTAAATCAGGAAGCGATTGTGCTGATCTTTTAGCTTGGTTAAAGACGAATATATTCATCGTCAATGAATATATAATAACGATGAATCATCGATATTTATAGCTATCTGAATGTGTAAGACAATCAAACGAGATATATTCTCGTCGCTAGACTTGATAAGGTACATAAGAAATTGTAAACAAAAGGTTAGAGATAGATATTTTATTTAAACAATCTACTATATTGAATATTTAAAGATTGATTGATATTAAAGATGGAGGAGATACAACAATATGAAAAAGAGAAGGAACATGCTAAAACGAAGAAGAATATATCATTTTATTCTGTCTTAAATAATGGCGAATAATTGTTTCCATCATTCTGACATCGTGCATGGTGTCAGCACATGTGCTGATGGATGGACACCATCAAACTTATATTCAATTGGAATGTCTGGGTGAATTGTATTAAATTTCATTTTAACAGCTAATTGAGTTAGTTGTATAGCAAGAGCACTCCGAATTTAGGGTCTTTTTATGTAACTGCGTATGTATATAAAAATTATTATAAAATAAAATGTTTTGTAAGAATAGAATACAGGAATAATCTCAGAAAAAGAAATATTAGATTATATTCTCCAAAACAAGTACAAATATCTGTTACTTAACTGAGTAGTATTGATCATAACACATATATACCACCCTACCACTTTGTCCACGATAAAAATTTATTTTTCCACAGAAACTTTGAGAATGACCACTAGAATTTGAGTCCCACACACGAGAATTTTAGTCTTTTAAACGAGAATTGTTCATCTCGTACGGGTATTCAGAGTGATCCTATCAGTTTCTTCACGAGAGTTACTACGCATCAGGCCAGATTCAAATTTTATAAGTTTTTCGTAATTTCAATAATTGTCATACTTTCACAGTAATCTTGAGTCCGATTATTCCCAGAACCTTGATAGAGCTCATAATTCCCAGAAACTAGGATAGCTTAATTCATCGGCGTTTGCATTTTGCATTGTGTACTATGTGTTATGCATTACAATAGCACTTCGATTAGCGGATCCAATTATGCGCCGTATTTCTTTCACGACACCAATGGAATCCCCCGGTTACATTCTTCAGGAGAATTTTACTTCTCCAAAATTTTGAGAATTATCTTCTTACTTCCTCTCATACGAGGAGGATGCACTAAAACTCTCGTGGTAATTCTCAAAGTTCCTGTATAAGTGAAGTTCTCGTTTGAGCGGGTAAAACTCTCGGGAAATCATATGTACAACATATGTACAGTTCTCTGAATCTTGATATGAAACAACAATCGTTTCCGCTAATGGTTAACAATATTTTTTGATGAATTTTTTCCTTTTAAACTGCTTAATACAATTTGTGCTATGATAAGCCATGTTCAACAACTCTATCTTAGAGCATACATAAATGACGTTGTTGATACAGTTACTGTCCTTGTATGTCTTAGTTAAACTGTTGGTTGTTTTACTTAAATAGTTTGCCGCAAATAATAATTGGAAAGCGATTTACAACACATACAAAGATGGTAAATATATATTCTCTAATATTGCACGCTGTTTTGCACTATCGGGTGGTATTTCCATTAGTCCAATTAGATCATTTTCTTCTTCTGTTAATGAATTTTCAATATTATTACCTTGAAAATAATCATAGGGTGATAAACTTGTTCGAATCATGCGTATACGTCTAATTTTTGATCCTGATATGTTAAATGAAAATAATAACACAACAATAGCGCAATTACACTTGCTACTTCAGTTAGTGATAGCGGTGCATTGTTTTGACGATTTCTATTCAAGACATCTTCCAATTCTCTTATAAAACTTCGAGACGCACATGTTAAATTTACTACTGTAGTAAACCAGTCATTACTTATTGTAAAATATATACACGTTCGAAGCATAGTTTCAATCGATCTTTGTTCAGTATTTTTACCAAGTTAACCATAGTTCCATATGTAATTAATCATTGTTTCTGGTGTTGGTACAACCGTATATAATAAACGTTTACATAAATTTGATTTAGGAATTAAGAATTTTATATCGATCTTTTTTTATACCAATTTTATCGTCCAACCCTACTTTATCCGTTTTGAATCGTCGAGGATTACACGCACCAATAAATAACATATTCTCTGGTAATTTCTTACCCAATAATGTACGTTCACACATTATCTCTTTTACTAGGCCAATATTTTCATTTGTATTAACCTTATCAAAAAATAACCACGGATTTCATTGCTCTTGTTTCATGTTCAATCAAGATTTCAATTATTTTTCCACTACTTATACCGGCATGAATGGAAAAAGTAGCTAATTCATCATCTAAAACTTTCTGACATAAAAAACTGATTAAAACAGTTTTACCACAGCCTAAAGTGAAAATAAAAAAAGACATCGAAATAATTACCAGTAACAAACGTTGCCATTTGCAGCAGGGCAGTTCATTCAAATCTAGAATCTGGTGCAGCATACACTAGAGTCAGAACAACATTTAGAATTGAGTAGGTTAAACAAAATCGAACAATAATAATAAAAGTTGAGTAGAAAAGGCATATTCAAATTAAGCAGAAGTGAATCCAGTAGAACTGTAGTGGGAAGAAGAAGATTGTACGGATATGAAGGTCTTACGAGAGGACCAGGCGAACTGTCACATCGGTTTTTCAGCCACAACTAGTGGGTTACAGATTATCAACTATGCTGAATCCGAATATCATAGTGGTAGATGCCCAGGTGCCTTGAAGAGCGGTTTTCTGGGAAACTAATTTCTTCTTATTTCTGTAACTTTGAGCTGAAAGTGAACATTTAGGGCTTTTCTTGTAAATTCTATAACTTTGCAAAGAAAGGTTGTGTAGAGCTGGGAGATGTCTCATCTTAATCAGAAATTTGCGCGCTACAATTATGTCCCATTAAGAAAGGTTTTAGTTGCTCAACTGTGACACAATGTCGATTACTGAAGTAGCTCGAGAACCACTCGAGTAATTTATCTGACATTTCCTTTTTCTTTAAGTTGTAAAGTAAAGCGGCGTGCTAGACCTTATCACACGCTTTCGGGTTATCAGGAAGAGTAAAATTAAGCAAGAGTAAAATTACTCTTATCTACGTTTCCACTAATCTCATATACAAGGTCGACTAATTGATTCACTGTCGAGTCGCCTTGTATGAAACTTGACTGGAGCGGTGTTAACAATTTATGTTTTTTCAATGATCATATAATTTATTGAAAACTAAACGCTCTAAAAGGAGCGGGCTCGCGTTTCCACTGCTTTTAGCCAGAAGAACTGAACCAACTAGTACATGGGCTATAGCCACACGCTGTATATTTAAGGAGAAACCATTTATATTCGAACATCCCCTATCTAGTGATCACTCTCGGGATTGGCGGAAAACGCAGAAGAGTAAAATGTCGACAAAAAAGTTCCCTTGACTTTAGTGCAGGGTCTTACAAAATGGTTGTCTGTGTGTTTGTGTGTGTGTGCGCAAAATACGGAAAAATGGCTGTCAGATATTCTATGGATAAGCGAATCACAAGAGACAACAGTAGAAAATTATTTTTTACATAAGAGAGAAAATAATCAAAGAGATCATCTGAAATATTTACTGATGCAAAGACGTAAACAGCTCAGCAACCGTTTTCTGTGGGCCGGGAGTAGATGTCGCCAGATAGCAGTCAACTGTGACAATACAGAAAAAGTGGTTTACGGGTAATAAAATTGATAGTGTATAGATAATCTATTATAACGAATCGATCAGAAATACTTCCAACCTCCTTGGGGTCTGCAGAGGGTGTGCAGAAAACCTTTTAAGTTTATATTACATTAGATGGTTTTTTGGTGGAATCACAGAAGTTCATAGCGTTTCTGATCTATACTGGTTGCGAACGCCGACAGAAGGGAAGCGTGAGCATTTTGAATTCAGAAATAGTTTTAGACCTTTTGAGATTTTTGCTCTATTTATATTAGTTTACGAACCTTACACATGAAAACAGAAAAAGATCCAGAAGATGTCTTAGGTAGGTTTCCAGCGAGCGCCGACCGAAGGGAGGCGTGAGCATTGTTTTTAATTCAGAATTATGTTTAGACCTCTAGAGATTCTTGATTTATATATTAATATCAGACTACGAACCTCATACATAAAAAATGAACAAAACTTCAGAAGGTGCCTTAATTAGGCCCCCAGCGAGCGCCGAACGAAGGGAGGCATGAGCATTGTGTTCTATTTAAAAGTCCCCAAAGGACGTTCGCTTGCGCAGATCCAACTTAATAAAGTCAAGGGGCCGAGCGAGTGGAAACGAGCGTTACTTTGTAGGAAAAGGTCAAAAGAGCGTTACTTTGTCGAAAGACAAATAGCGAATGTTTAATCAATGAGAAGGAAAATGTCGATCGCGAAACAGTATTGGATAAGAAAGTGAATTAACAGGAAAACGTCGAAAGGATAATAGCGAAAGTCGAATGTAGATGAAAGATGTCTATATCTTATGTTATTTTATCTTCACAGTTGTTATTGGTTGTTACTAGAACAGAATCATTCCTTTATCTTCGTCGACTGAACTTTCTCCATCGAGGGTGATCGTCTATGTAGTCGGTATTTAATCCAGTTATTCTACGACTTTACATTAGAGAACTAGCAAATAAGGAGTTATCTCTTTCTTCAAAAGATATCGCAATGCAGGCATTGCCACATATGTAACTATAGAAGAAAATAGATTTTTTTCTCTTGCGTTCGCTTCATACTTTGATACGGAACGGAAAGTTTATAGTGAGAGTGAGGGGTAAAAATGAAATCAATGCAAAGCAGCTATTACATGGCTTTGGACTGTTACTCGGCGGATCAAAAAAATGAGATGAGGAACTGACATTTACGTCCATTTTTCTTTTCTCTGTGATTTAATTGGAATTTTTTTATCATCTACAATCCGTTCCAAATAGTCAGACCGCTGGTTGCTTTTTGAATAACTTTTGACAGGAATGAGATAGAGGCCTGCGATTTTCGCTGTTCAATAGCCAAGACTTGAGCAGAACTTTTCACAAGCGGAAACAACTTTTGAAAAAATTCCAGAGATCGGATTTTCAGAGGATCTTTGGAAAACCAGCTCCGTTCTCAGAAAACTAACATACAATGTTAGTAATTTTTTTGCATGCGTAGATAGTTCGGACGTTACTCTACAAAATTATGCAACTCCCGGCTCTCTAGCTATCGTCGTTCGGGCAGGGCTCGCTTTCCCCGAGCACGTGTCTATCTCCGAGCAGACATCTCTGGGAATCTCAAAATGCCATGGACTATAGGTAATCGACTACGCTGAGCATTAGTGGCAACATTTGTTTTTGTGGTATGCGTGCAAATGTACTACTCTTAGAGAAATTCAATAACCTGTAGCAGATTGATTCGATGCGATATCTTGTCGATGGTACAGCAATTTCGTTTTTCCTACCTTGATCGGATAATGTCATTTGAATATGAAACTTATAAATATGTTTAACACCTGTTCGATTTCTTTATTTGTTTTTCTAATGGCACACAAACATAAACCGTCATGAAATGATGATTTGACAAAAAAGAGCTCAGCATTATAGCACTTTTTCATCGTTCTATTTACCAAAGTTCCTTTTACAGACATTATTCCCCCACCTGTGTTAATCTTATACCGAAAAAAACAATTGATCTTTTCTTTTATATAAAAACAAAAGACTAACACTAGAATATCTGGTTCTATATTCAAAATAATAACATAAGGTCTGCTTATTTATAATGAATAATGTCCTAAAACATGAATAAGAAAGCTTTATCTCAATATTTCAGCAGTCGAATAAAACATACGAATTAATTCCGAATCTTGACGTAATCGTTTCGCCATTTCAATATTATCACCATCAGTTTCTTTTATGACGTTCATTAAATATTCCAAATATTCAAACATACTACCTTGCTCACATATTAATCATATGACAATTTTTTTTGAACAACAATACAAAATCAGGTAGAATTTATTGGGAATGTTAGAAATAATTACTCTCGTTTTTTGTAGCAAGGTAGTATGTTTGAATATTTCGAATATTTAATGAACGTCATAAAAGAAACTGATGGTGATGATATTGAAATGGCGAAACGATCACGTCAAGATTCGGAGTTAATTCGTATGTTTTATTCGACTGCTGAAACATTCAAATAAAGTTTCCTTATTTATGTTTTAGGACATTATTCATTATAAATAAACCGGCTTTATGTTATTATTTTTGAATAAAGAACTAAATATTCTAGTGTTATTCTTTTGTTTTTTGATAAAATCAAATTTCTAATTTGAACTAAATCGTGATTCATTTTACTATTCAATATCGGTCATTTTGCACGACTATGTAAAGGAAAAGATCAATTTTTTTTGGTACAAGATTGACACAGGTGGGGGAATAATGTCTGTAAAAGGGAACTTTGGTAAATAGAACGATGAAGAAATGCTATAATGCTGGGCTTTTTTTTGTCAAATCATCATTTCATGACGGTTTATGTTTGTGTGCCATTAGAAAAACAAATGAAGAAACAAAAAACATACCAAAAACAACATTACTACTGATAACATCGAGTTGATTGCACAACTTCAATCGTTGTACAGAATATAGATACAAAACGGTGAATTTAGTTTTGTAGTTTACTACAAAGCTAAGTTCACATGTTCGAATCTCTATTCATACAAAAATTGATTTTGTGTTTTTCGATAATTTTAGTTAGAATACTATAATGGAATATTCTTCAGCTTGTATTCTGACAGAATAAAGCTATAAAACAAAACAAATGAAGAAATCGAACAGGTGTTAAACATATTTATAAGTTTCATATTCAAATGACATTATCCGGTTAAGGTAGGAAAAACGAAATTCCTTTATCATCGAACAGATATCGCATCGAATCAATCTGGTACACTTCTTCCCACTTTTAAGCAATCGGTCATCAAAAATTTAAAGTGTAATTTCGTAACCTCACATTACTGTTGATTTCAATCTGGGACAAGAAACGTTTTGTCTTAGTTGTATTCATATGTTTTCAGAAATTTTAGATAATGAAAATTTTGTTGTGTTTAATATCACTCCACTCACATCGACGCCCGCGACAAATCGTTCCTGCGAAGAATTGTCCGTGATGATTTGTCCTAGCGCCCAGATTTGTGCAGCTTTCAATAGAGAAAACTTTAAGGCTCTATCGAAAAAGGAAACATTGAAATTGAAAATATTTTCAAATATTGATCATGCAAAATGCCTTAAGGAGGTTTATGCTTTAGCTTCATAACTTGTTTCAAACATAAGACAATTTTTCCTATGAACCGAAATCAGCATTCCAACGTGTTTTTTCTTCTAGAGAATCTCTGAAGGCGGACTTTATTAAGATTGTAAACAACAACAAAAAGGATCTCAGATTTAGGTAACCGGACGGATCGCCGCAGGATAATTCGTTGCGGGTATGTGGTTGTGGAATGTCGGTATGGGTATGATTGAGGATGAGGCTTGGCTGACGGTGTGGGTGAGTGTACACAAGAGATCTGCACTCACATCGACGCCCGTGACAAATCGTTCATGCGAAGAATTGTCCGTGATGATTTGTCCTAGCGCCCAGGTTTGTGCAGCTCGACAGAGAAAACTTTAAGGCTCTGTCAGAAATGGAAACATTGAAATTGAAAAATTCGTTTCATGGAGATCGAGAAATGCGGCAAGTATACTTTTGATTTAAACTCAGACAATCAATCAATCAATTTTATTTTAAGATCACGATGTTAAATGCCAGGGATGACAAAAACGTTCTAAAGAGCTGTCAGCCTTCACAGTTACATAAAGACATATATTTTCCACCATCGCAACCTGCACTCAAACAAATCGAATTCGTTCACTTCGCTCATCCATCTACCGTTCTCTTAATAGAAGTCAATTATCTACCACCGGAAAATAGCCCGACGTTTATCAAACTCAAACAACTATGTGGGATTATTTTTTCATCATTTTTCTTTTTCACTGTTAACTTTTATGTGTGAGGACACACATTTTCCGTTGCGGGGATGATTGTTACAGGCTTTCAGCCTCCACGGTTACATAAAGATATATATTTTCCTTTCGTTTTCCTTTTTCAAGTAATATTTCTTTTTCGTTCGTCCATTTTACTACACACATGTATGACGATACATATATGACTTTTCTTTTCCTTTTCGGTCATTGTCATTCTTCACCTTTTTATTTCGTTGATACAGATAAATATATAGACGAACATTGTCATCGTTCGAGGAATTCTTTTTCCCTTTCGTTGTTTTTATTTCTGTTTTAAAATAAACTTCAGATGATTCTATTTGAACTTCACACTATCCCCTAATAAGAGCTTTGACTAAGTCACACCGTACAGAAAAATAAAAGAAATTTCAAAAAATAATATAGAAAGTGAAAGAAAAAAATTAAAAACAAATATGGCTTATAAAAACTGTTGTTACAACTTTAAATGTTTTCTTAAGGCATGTTTAAAGGCTAGAATGGAAAATTCAGAAATCATCTCCCTTGACAACACATTCCACTGTAAAACTGTATTAGGTAAGAAAGATGAACGTGTGCTTTTTCGTTTGTACTTCGATACCTCCCAAACACATCGATTTGAAAGTCGAGCCGAAGCTCGAGGAGTTAGTGATTTTAGTAGTGAAAAAGATGACAATGCACTTCTTCCTATAATCATTTTATGTAAATATATTAATCTAAAGTATTTTGTACCGGCTTTCTAAATCAGGCAGCTCCAACCCGTTAAGAAAATAAGAACTGCTAGAATGGTAGTCGTTCGTTATAATGCGCGCAGCAAATTTGCATGTTGAAGTTAGTATATCTAAATGAGTTTTGAAATCATTATCAAATACAACACAACAGTAATCCATAACAGGTAAAATACATGCTTTGTACATATGAAGCCTTATAAAGTCGGGTGCGCACTTAAAAGTTCTATTTAAAGCTCCAAGCATTTGTCTACACCTCTTGCTAATTTTTTCTAAATGATGTTTCCATGTAAGATCCGGTGAGAGATATACTCCTAATAATTTTATATTTTTATCAATTGAAAGTTGTTTCCCAGAGAGATAAATTGGTGGATAGTTTTCTGGTAGTTTAGAATTTGAAAAAGGCATGTAAAAACATTTATCTATGTTTAATTCAATATCGTTCTTCGTGCACCAATTTGACATTAAATCAAGAAAGTTTTGAACTTTTGTGAAATTCTCAAAATTTTGAACTGGTATAAGACTAAGCACATCATCCGCGAAGAGTGATGCGGTGATATTAGATGGAAACATCTGATTAAGGTCATTGATAAAAACCAAGAACAAAAGAGGTCCCAAGATGCTCCACACTTACGTGTACAACGTTAGATTTTTGGTTATTTACGACTACTGTTCGCTGCCGGTTAGTTAAATAATATGTAAACCATGCAAGTAAAGAATCACATACACCTGTTCTAGCAATCTTCTCTAACAAAACCGTATGATTTACTCGATCGAACGCCTTCGCAAAACGAAAAGCAACACCAACCGTTAACTGTTTACTTTCTAAAAGCTTCGCTAATTCTATAGTGACATGCAAGAATAAACACGTTTTTTCAAATAACTTAATAATTAATTTAATACCTTATTGCGCAACCTTTTATATTGCATGGTTTTCACAAGTGATTGTTGACGTTTCATTTTGTTAAACTCTTTCTTTTTATATGGTATTTATTGTTTTGTTGTTTTTGATGGTTTAAAATTCGCTTGAATTTTAGAAGATAATTTTTTGATGGAACACAAGCGTTTATACATCTAGAGTAATGGTTTAATAGAACTTCTGATTTTTCGTTTATATCATTAGAACGATAAAATTTACTGTCAACTACTGAAACCATTCGATGCAAAAGATTTAAATCGCAATTTTCGTAGTCTAGTTCTTGTTTTGGTTGATTCTCTATTTAAAAGTTAAATTTAGCTTCTAACAAAAAATGTGGTGATTTACCTATTTCTGGATGAGATTTTGTACTCGGTTCATCCCATTCTTTTAAATAAAAATATGTTATCTATTTTTGTGCTTTTATGAGTAGTGAAACATTTAAAAGCACGTGTTAAAGAAAATGTTTGTAATATTTCTCTAAAATCAGTAGAAGCTTTTTCTGTATTTATATTGAAATCACCTGATAAAATTAAATAAATACCTTTCCATGAATTTTCAAGAAGAAATTTAAACAGACTATCATAATAAATTTTACGAGAAGATAGACGATGTTATAAAATATTACAAGATATTACAAAATAGAAAAGGACATGCATCAATTTTAATTTCATGTAGCAAAGCCATAGCATCGTTAGATTTAGCAATTAAAGAATGTTGAATTTCTTGACTTATATAAGTCATTACTCCTTGCGAGTTCCTGGTAAAATCATTCCTGTACATCAAATACCCTGGTATAGAAATTTCCTGATCTAATATAGACTCATCTGTAAAACTTTCAGAAATATAGAAATAATAGCTGGTTTTTCTGCGAGTGCATTAGATTTCAGTTCTTCAATATACTCTGTATATTGTGTGAGAAAATTTTCAAAAAAGTGGTCGAAGATAGAGACTCTGAACTAAAAGAGAAATGTAAATTTACATCCGAGTCTTCTGAACGTGCCTGAATCTGTCATAAACAAGTGGAAAAACTATCATACATTACACGACCACTAAAAACATTTGGATGTAGTCCATCCTTTAAAATACCCTGTTCAAAATTCATTTTAAGAAAATTCACATTTTGATCCAGACACAATTGTTCCAACTGTCTATTATAATCTTTTATTTTTATCAAAGCCACCGACATTCAATTTTTCGGGAATGAAATGCAATAGGTGTTATTGATATTTTGATTTTTGGATTCAGCTCACGGGTTGTTTTAATAACGATAACATTTTCCACACTGTGATCACTAACATCATTCGTACCACATTCATAAATAATTGAACTCGATTCTTTAACGAATCGTTCATACTTGGTTTTTATTTTCTCGTTTAATTTTCTAAACTTCTCATCGGACTTCGATCAAATGAGAACAGTGCAGTTTTCATGAGATAAATATTTTTGATTAAATGCTTCATAATAAACTGTCACCAAGAATAATTGCATTTTTCACAACTGGAGTTTGTTTTACATTCGATGTGAAGACTGTTGTAGAATTTGTTACTGGAAGCAGAATAGAAGAACCTGTATTAAAAAATGGATGTATATTTTGTGTTGGAGAGATGCTGGACAAATTAACTTCAGATACATATACATTTGAGCTGAACAGTAATGATCAGAGGAAAATGAAAATTCAGATTATTTGTTGTAAATTCAGGAGTAGTAGGATTCAACTGTTTCGTTTGTTTTTCTTCTTTATCAATGGAGGTGGATGATGTGAGAAAAGATAGTAGAGATGAATTCTGACTAAGTATTCGGTCATTTTGATCTAATATTTTCTTTATTAAATGTAATTTATCACTTTCCGTGATGACTTTCCATGGTCTCTACTGTTGTAAACAAAATGAGTCATCAACATTTTCATTGTGATCTATTGTAGACGATGATGAGATATCGTTCAATTTTTGTTTTAAAGTTGTTCTTCATTGTACCATGCTGTTGTCGGAGTAAATTACCAATAATTCAATTAAACCCGATTTTTTTCATCGATGTTGGGACCCGAATATTCATATCTTTCAGTCTCTTAACCAGAAACGGCTTCACTTCAAGACAAGAAGGTTGCTTCGAATATTGTCATCATGTTTACCGTAATTTTCAGTTATTTTCTAGTATGTCGTTGGTAGACTATCTGTAATCTATAAACAATAAAGCCATACATGAAAGAAATTTTACAAGACGTCTTCATTGACAAATAACGAATGTTATATATGTAAAAATGAGCTAAGAAATACAGATGATGTGGTAAAAAGAAGATTGCACATGGCGATCGAAACGTCTTAATTGTAAATAAATAAAATAAAATACTACGAAGATAAAGTATATTTTCATGAAATATTAGCAATATAACTACTTGTATTACAAAACGAATGCCTTTATATATCAGTAGAAAATTCTAGGGATATTCGCATGACATTGTAGTCTTAACTCATGCCTGGACATTAGTCTAGAACCTTCGAGAATAAGTGACAGTATATAAGATACAATAGGCATGCGAATATCTAGATGTACTAACATTAAATGAAAAACATCATTTTAAAACAAATGATTATTCACTATCCCACAGAAAAGTACGTTAAACATAAGACACCGATGCAGTATATTTTCCATTTTTGAAGAAAAGGCACATTCTTAAGCGCGTAGGAGAGATTAGGGAGTAGAGTAGATCAGTCTTTGAAAAGGTTATCTCTTTGTAGCTGGTAAAGCGGGCACTGCAATAGAAACTGCTTGACTGTCTCTAGTTTTGCACAGACACAAAACTGGTTATCATATAAACGTTTTTCGAGCAAGTCAAAATTAATATGGCAAAATTAACTCTCATTTGATTAAGCACTAATCAAACTACTCATATTTCCGTTCTGTGTCTCTAAATTTTGGCCATTTGTAGAACGGGAAGGTAAAATGTTTGATTGTGGTTTCCCCGTATCGAACGACAACAGGGTTTTCTGGAAACCTTTGGAAAACCTTTTACTTGAGCTTAAGCGCTTTTCAGAATATGAAACCATAACAACTGGTATATTTCTAATGCCATGGAATGTTGGTCCTATCTTAGGACCCGTACTTGGTGGTAGTTAATTTGCCAAGACTGTTTGTGGAGATGAGCAAAAAGAATATATTGAAAGTATGAAAAATTCAAACGGAGCTACAACGGCACATCTAAAGCAACTGATAGACTCTTTTCAACGAGAAATAATTCTGTATTCCACTATGTAATCCATCTTTTGAGAAATAATTCTGTATTCCACTATGTAATCCATCTTTTCTTCACAGAATGGATAGTCCTGATTGTAAGTATGTTTCGTCTTGTGTTTCTCTTTCTGCACTTGATAAGTTTGACGGAAGTTTCGAAAAAGCAATAGTATCATGGTGAGAGGGAACAATTAATAGAGGAGAAAAAATAATGAAGAAAGAATTATATTATGAAACAAACACAGACGTCGCATCCGACATAAATCAAATATAGATAACCCGTCCTAAATCAGCCAATAATTTTTGGTGGGTGCTGGTGAAAGGCAACGCGCCTGATACCGCAACGCAGCTTGATACTGCATTCGTGCCAAACGTGTTAGATTTGTCCATGTCGTCCCACTGTAAATTTATATCGCATAATTGAGTGTGCTAAGGATGAAGGTTTGGTACACCGTTGCCTAGGCCTGACGAGACATATATTGGGTGAACACAACAATAATGGATGAACCGCCATGTATAACGGTGGTGGAGATGATACAACACGACAAGGAAAGAACATGACTGTACATTTAAGAGTATTTAAAGGGAGTGCCCATATCGTTGCACATTGATGTATAATCCTAAGATCTTTGTTCAAGACAGTTGCTGCTACCTGCAAATCGTTTACGGTTGAATACAGAGAGACATCAGTAGCAAACAGCTTACACATGGATTGAACAGAGTTGGGAAGATCGTCAATGTATATTAAGAACAGGAGTGGTCCAAGGGCAGAACCCGGTGGGACTCCACACGTAATTGACAACTGATCAGACGACATCACATCAAGTAATGTAAGAATTTTCCTATCTGACAAATAACTACTAAACCAATTTACAAAACCGTCAGGGATGCCTTTACTGCGCAGCTTAACTATCAAACCGTCATGAGACACCTTATCAAATGCTTTACTGATATCTAGAAATGAAGCAATAACAGATTGTCCCTGATTCAGTGATTTGGCAATATGATCAACTATGGCAAGCAACTGGTTGACCGAGGAGATACAAATCCAGATTGACTACAATGTATACGATTATTCGAACGTAAAAAAACTGAAGACATGCTTATAGATTATGCGTTCAAAAATTTTAGATACTGCTAAGAGACGTGTAATTGGGCGATAATTATTAGGCAACTGAGCAGCACCGCTCTTGAAAATGGGTATAATAAAGCCAAGTTTCCATGTAGTTGAAAACTCACTATTACGAAGTGATTCATTGAACAAGTATGTCAGAACAGGGGTCATCACAGGAGCACCTTCTTTCAACATACGATTAGTTGTACCAGGAGCAGTGGCTTTACCTGTATCAATCCGCAATAACAATTCATAGACTTCATAGACATTAATTCGAAATTCAGACATAATAATTTTAGGCTGCGGCAGCGAATTAGCTGCCAGCGGATTAATCGAAGAAACCGCAGTACCAACACTACAAAAATATTTATTAAGTAATTGTGCACGATCATGAGGAGATGAGGCTGATTGATGTGTACTGGTGCCCAACAGTGACGGAACTGATGAATGCTTATTTCTTCCAAGCGTATATTTCAACATAGTCCACCATTTTTTCGATGGACTGTTAACAGATGAAGATAACCTTTTATAGTATGACTTTTTCGCTAATTCGTGTTTCCGTAACGTTGTTCACCGTCATCATCGGCACGTGACACGTTGTGTCTGATGCACTAGGGAACCAACTGCCATTCGTTTATGTTACTCTTCAATGTGAATGCATATAAACAATCTTTGTAGTCGCGACTATCCGACTCATTCGTATTGTACAATGAAATGATCCATCAACAGCTGCAAACTGGAGAAAGATTAAAACGTATTTCAACCTAGTCGACATAGTCTAAAATGTAAAAAACACAAGAGAAACTTGAAGATCGACCAGAAGGTTGAAAGGTTAGAATGTGCAATGGCACAAGTACACATAAAATGCGAATCACTGAGGCAGCAACCGTCACTCTAATCAACAGATGCTATAGGCAAATAAAAATGAAAAAAATGAAGGACTGATCAATATATTACAACGTCGATTTGTTTCTCAAAGAAGAGGCTCAAAATAAAGCTCAAAAGCCTTATTCTAAATGATGATGCTGAAGAGCTTTACTGTTCATTTCACTCAATAACATATGTAAAAAAGACTGATAAGAAAGCAGAGAAAGGAGAGAAAAAATAAATCGACGTTGTAATATATTGATCAGTCCTTCATTTTTTTCATTTTTAGTTACCTATAGCATCTATTGATTAGAGTGACGGTTGCTGCCTCAGTGATCCGCATTTTATCTGTATTTGTGCAATTTTTTGCTCTTTTCCTCCTTGTTCTCGTCCTTGTGAGTGATACTTTGTGTATTCGACCAGAGATGGGCAAGTCAGAGGATTTGTCAAGTCAAGTCACGTCAATTTCGTGACTTGGCCTGACTTGATTTGATTTGATTCAAGTCAAATTTTTAGTTTTTAAAACAATTTAACCAGTCTTTTACAGCACAGGCAGATGCGATACTTCATACAGATTAAGCATGTAATCAGCAGAGATTAAAAAAGACTTGTTTAAGTGTGTGGAGCGGCCAACTGTATACATGCTTTTTGACTTGAAAATGGCTTGGTCAATACGACCAAGTCACAAGTCATGACTTGACTTGACTTGACTTGACTTGCCTATCTTTGTATTCAACCATAAAAGCTTTTCTTTCAGAAGCGACGCTTAAGTTGGTTATAACGATATATAGTCTTTCTTCTTAGCTATTCACATCCGAACAATTCCTAATTTTGCTTAAGTGTATATAAGAAGACGCTTCCATTTGCCTACCCTTCCGTTTGACTTAAAACGTTTTGAGGCATTACATAATGGGTGAGTCTGTTGACACGCTCGGGCGTGTCAATAAGGAGCTATTGTCACTCCCGGGAGTGTCAACAAGAAGCTATTGTCACTCCTTGGGCGTGTCAATTAAGAAAACAATTATTTGATATCTCAAGTAAGTGAATGGTTTTTTATGATATAAAGAAGAATAGAGAATCTTGTCAAAATCCGGCGAAGGTCTATGAAGGAATAATGCCCCATTTCTTATTATGTTTAAGACTTAGAACAATCAAAAAACTCATTCGGATGGGGGGAACAGGATATGGTAGGTGAACTCACTCTCATACTGCCTCTCCTCCCTCTCCCCACTATGCACACACTTCCTATGAAACAGACAAATTTGTACATACGTACACACCCGTGAGATGAAATCTTTTCAAACTTTTCCTTGAGGTTCCTAGGAAGTAGTTTTATCCATTTTCTCAGACTAACTGAGTATAAATGTAAATAATATTTTTCTTTTATCTTGCATTTTCTTTCATATTTATTTCGTAAAACGGAGCCTGCAAATTTATCTTCATTAGAAACTGACATTTATATACTCTTGTTCTCTATCGAGATTCATATAGTTATTTTCTTATATAAAGGCGTTTATCTTCATTTCTTCACCGTTTCCAATTGGCTTCACTTCGTTCTCTTCACTTCCAAGCTTTGACAAAGAATTCGAAAGCGCTCCATCTTTTCTCTTCACTGCCTTTTTTACTATACAGCTTTTCTTTAAAAACAAATATTAAAACTTTAAGCAACATTGCTTAAAGCAATCAAATTACTTTTCTAGGTGTTACTAGTTAGGATTAGTGCCAGAAACGGGACATTATTCCTTCATAGACCTTCCCTTGACTTTGACAAGATTCTCTATTCTTCTGTATATCGTAAAAAACCACTTACTTGACATATCAAATAATTATTTTCTTAATTGACTCGTCCATGGGGTGGCAATAGCTCCTTGTTGACACTGCCAATATTCAAAACTTCTCATTATTCATAATTTCAGTAGTTCTCAAAAATTAATATATGAGCGTGATTCGCAAAAACTTCTGAAAGAAACTGCATAGTCAAAAGTTTTGAAAAAATTTTCTTCCTTGTTCCCGCTCAGAAACATCCTTATTTCAGTTTAAATTTCATCAAAATGTACGTAATAGGGTATGTTGATGACGAATATCACAGTTAGAAACAGTGCAAGTGCTTTCGAAAAGTGTTTTCACACAGTATGTAGACAAGGATCTTTTCACTTTTCACCCTCTACCGCCGCTGATCTATCCAGTTTTATGCGTAATCAAAATTTTTTATACGTAAAACGGTATGCTCTGTTCGTTTAAAGTAGAATTGAGTCGTAAAAGGTTGGTTTTGCTGGCGTGATATTAGATAGAACTGGCTAATCCGAGCAAAATGCGTTAATACACTCTATTGGCCGATTTTACGATATATTATGAATTAATTAATAACACTTTCAATACTTGACCAAATTTTATTTTATTATATAGAAATACCATCAAAGATGCTGTCTAGAAACTAGCCAAGTTTGAGGGTGTATTTAGAGGGAACACCCCCCTCCTTAAGGAAAAATCGCAAAAATGAAGTCTTTTGTTTTGTGTCGTTGCCGACCGCACACATGATATTTGGCTAGAAAAATTGATTTGTCTGGTCTCAAAATGTTTTCTTGAAATGAATCATGTAAAAAGGCTGGCACTCCTGTAACGTTGGAGTCTCAGGTAATATTGAATTCTAGAATGCTGTAGTGCTAGAGTCCTGCATTACATGTATATTACTAGCTATCAACTTTTGAGTGTTATTTATGAGTATGCGCGAATCTTGTTTGTGGAAGGTTGCAATCATAACTTGTCTCTTCAGAAACAGATGATGAATGTATAAATATAGCAAAAGCATGATCATCAACGGAGACTGAAATAAGTACTTGGTAATTCTTTCGAAACTGTCTCACACTTTATATGAGGGCTTCCCGCAAAAATCGCGACATTTCCCGTTTGAAAGAGCATTTAATTCCCCGTATTAATTGTCTTAATGGTCACTGCAATTTAGATTGATTTAATGGAATAAATCATGTTTCTGATCATTGCTGGACCTTTCAAAAGCAAGTCTGTATGCATTTCATGAACACAAAGCAAGGGAATTTGAATAACTTAATCTTTGAATTGTAAGACAATTTTCAATCCGTTGGAGTGCTTTTTCTCTAATATCTTCCTTATACAATTTCAAAAGTAAACATTAATGGTTAACATTATCAAAAGCCTTCTTGAAATCAAGTAAAACCGAAAAAGTAAATATAATCTTCGTTATTCCAGACTAAATATTATTATTAACCTCCAGCAAGAGATTTGTCGTAAGTTTACTAAGGTGCATTTAATCCAAACTTGCAGTGTTTTGGAGTTTTGTATACATATTCTGATTCGTCTCGTCGAGCTGATCACAAGTATGACCTTTCCAGCCTTAAAAACCCTTTTCTTCCTGGAAAGAAACTCAAACCACTGAGAGGATCTCAAAAACCCAAACATCCTTGCTATTGAAAAACTAAAAGTTTTCTGTCTTTTGCTTACAATAACTTTTCTTTGTATATAAGACTATATTCCGAATCTTTAGAAAAAAATGTCTCGAATGGTATGTGCCATCAGATGTTTTCGGGAAGGATAGTAATAATACTGATAGTCTAAACACAAAATGATATAGATTCCCATATGGCATTCATGTGCTCATCGAGAAGAGCACACAGAATAACTATAAGAGATTTCAGCTGAAAAAGGAAAAAGAATTTCTCTGTGATCGTTTTGTTCTTAAAATTACAAGCCTTTGAAGCAACAACTTTATTACAAGCAGTTAGAATACTTAAGCAAGTTTTTGTCGGTCTTGTGTTTTCTAATTTCGACGACAAAATCTTTTCCGACCTCTTCTTCATGGGTTATTTCAAGAAAGTTTGAATGTTATGTTCCCTGTCACCATAATTTTGTCTAGTATAAATTTCGAAAGTTAAAAACGGACAAAAAGTTGCTTAAGGCCCCTCTTCCCACATTTCAGAAATGCTGATTTTCGCCACAACTGTCGATTTTCGAGCTAAGAAGAAAGACTACATTTAGTTATAATACAACTTAAGGGCCCCCGTCCTCAGAAATTATCTCCCGCACCGTGCATCCGATATTGACGAAACTTTCCATAAATGTTCGACACAATGAGTTACGGGAATGAAAAAGTCTTTTTGTCTCCAAGTCTTACGGTTCAGGAGTTTTTCAGAGATCAGGGTCCTTTTTAGATCTTGCTGAACGGCGTCCCCCTCCTTCAGGTATAACTGACTTTGCATTTAATCTAGAGTGTAAATGCATGTGAGGCAAGTTTTAAAACAAGAACAGTTGTGGACAAAATGAAACGAGAATCGTAGATAATCATTTCCGTTTTCGTGTCGGACATTTAAAATAAGAATCCATATGACGACAATCATTCCTTTTTTTAAGTGGTTTTTGGTACCATGTGTATATAAAACAGATTGTCAGCGATTTCAGTTCCTTCTCAAGCTACCATATCGCTTTTGTAACTAGTTGATGATAACTTCAGCAGTAGCCTTGGGTGTGTTATTTGGTAATGCCTGTGCAATCACGTATTTGGACAAATTGTCGGTAAGCACAAGCGCATATTGACTGCCTTGCTTTGATGACCGAATGGGGCCTCAGAAGTCAAAATGGACCACTTGGAATACATCATTGGGCGGCTCGACTGATTTCAGATGGCCAGGTGTTTTTCGCCGACCAATGTTATGATGAGCACACTGGTGGCACAAGGCAATGTGATTTTCGATGTCTCATCGCATATTTGGCCACCAAGCGCGAGGTTTAATGTTATACAGTGTACGCCGAATTGCAAAGTGGCCACTGAGGGTATGATCGTGAAATGCTTCGAGCACGATAGGCACCATTGAAGGTGGAATATATGGTACGCGAGTCCTTGTTGCACAGCTATTCTTGGAAACACGACGGTAGAGAATATTGTCGCATACTACAAAGTTGCTTTCATTCTTGCCGCCTCTGATCCGAGCGATAATATTGCGAATGCATCATCGATTATCTCGTATCGAGAAAGGTAGCCGGTCCTGTATTTTCGCTACCTTTACGGTACTTGATCTCGATTATTTGAGGAATGAGATCTTGCATTTGTACGAGCCAATTGTCGATGCATTTGTTGCCATAATTTGATTTCTTGTGCATGTTAACGAGCGGTTCGTGATCGGTCTCAATGGTGATAGATGAGTCAGCAATGTAGTTGCGTAACTCCTTCAGGCACCAGTATATGGCCAACACTTCTCGCATTGTTTGAGCGCACCAGCTGCGCGTATTTCGCTGGCGTATGTTGACAGAATGAACGGCACCGATCGATCTGGAAAATCCAAGAATAGTGATGCTGTAGTCAAACTGGACTTAAATTGTTCGAAGGCTGCTTGTTGCTCTTTACCCCAGTAGAATTCATGACGTCGTGTATGTGTCTTGTTTGTCACTGTGTGCAAAGGTGCTGCGATTTTAGCAAAGTCACGAATAAATTTGCGATAGTAGCCGATTTTTCCCACAAATCGGTTTGCCAGTGATAGTGCCTTTGGTGGTGCCGTGTCTACGATCGCCTTGATCTTGTCCGGGCTTGGTTCTACTTTTTCACCAGTGACGATCTGACACCAAGAATTCGAGTCGTTGAACACCAATGGCACACTTTGATGGCGATACTTGAAAGTTGGCCTTGTTCAACACAGAGAGCACTTCAGCCAGATGTTGTTTGTGATCTTCGATAGTTTTTGAGAAGACAACAATGTCATCTAGATACACGACGACATAATCTCATCGCTCATTGGCTAGCAGTTGTTTCATCACTCCTTTGGAATGTAGGTGGGGCATTCATAAGCCCTTGGGCCAACACATTGTATTTCCAGTGGCCGTCTTCAGTGGAAAATGCCGTCTTCTATTTATCCGCTCCCGCTATGGGTATCTGGAAATAACCACTAGATCGGGGTTGGTAAAGTAGTGCTGGCCTGCAAGTCGATTGAGTACCGACGGTTGGAGGTATGCATCTTTTGTTGTCACCGAATTGAGTCGTCGAAAGTTTACTAAAAACCTTTATGATCCGTCAGGTTTCTTCGTCAGGATGACGGGTGAAGCCCATGGAGAGTGAGACGGGAGAATGACGCCATCTTCTAACAACTTGGTGTGTGTCTTCTTGTTGTTGTGGTGTCTTGTAATATGGACGGACACTGGTAGGCAGGTGATTTCCCGTAATTATGGCGTGATGAATAACTGTTTTTGCCGGTGTTGTCTTCGATGTATCAAACGTCTGTCGGTTGTTGATCAGAATGTTCTAGAAGTTTTGCTGTTGTTGTTGCCAGAACTGGTCACACACACCGTGTGTGACCAGTTTATGAATAGTGCTTTCGACAGGCTGCTGTTCGTTTCCGAGCTGCATTAATGAGCATTGAGCCGTCTGTTCAGGTACCCAATTGAGTTTGTCGGTTTGTTTTCGTTCTAGATGGAAGTCTTCCCTTAGCTTTCCACCCAAAGTAAAGGTCGGCCATCGAGTCGGTAAAAATGTCACAAAGCCAATATTTGTACTGGCTGATGTTGTACGCGATTTCCTGACAAATTGAGTACGGTCATATGAGAGCTATATTTCTTAATACTGAGCACAGATTCGTATACCATCACATTTAATTTTGAGCGGATATCATCGTTTGGCTCGAAGCACATGTTGTTTGCATTAGAGAGGGCCACGTGAACAGGTATCATTCGTTCTTGATACGGGAGCAAGTGTATGTTATGTGTAAGTCGAACATCGATCGGTGCCTTGGTCAGAAAAGGTGTCACTCTTTTTCCGAATCGATGATGATAGAGTTTCAATTCTTGTCGTCGCATCGAGATTTCTACCTTACATGCTCGGCACCAGTCCATGCCTAAAATCATATCGACTCCTAATGAATTCGCAATCGCAGCATCGCCAAACGTTTTCATTTGTTTTATTTGAACACACAATCGACCATCACACATGTCCGCTAGTAGTTTCTTGGACAGTTTTTCCTGTAGTGATCATGGCTACCGCAAGAACAATAGGCAATGTCAGTGAATTGATTTATTGTGCGTGATGCATAATACGGATTGTTGTAACGTTGATAGTAGGAATTGGGTCGGTCTACGTTATTGTTCAACGGCCGCACAGGCATGGATACTCGCGTCTTGCCTTGTGAGATATCGGGCATTTTGTACCACTGTTCGGGCTTGTCGTGCAACCTCCTCAGCCAGTACTTTATCCCATTCGATGAATATCTGCAGAAACTATTCGGTAGTGCGTGGGTTTCTCACCTCAATGTACGACTTGGCGCGTAAGTTTAGGCCGTTAAGCAGATGCTTGATTTGGGTGGCTTCGTTCATTGTTTCGTTAGCTTTTAGACAGAGTTTGATCACATTGTGGAAATAGTCAATAGATGATTCATTATTGTGACGTCGCCGATTGTACAGTTGTCTTTATCGTTCGAATGGGTCAACACCCGCTATTAGTTTAAAATGTGCTTTGACCTTTTTCGTGAACAATTGCCAATTATTGATTACAGCTTTGTGGGTGTCAAACCACATTTTTGCGCTGCCCTTCAGGAGATCTTGTCAGACAAAGTTGAACGATCATTGATACTTGATTTTTCTGCTGTCTCGCTAGTTGTTGCCCGTGTGCTTTGCATTGACTGATCCATGGAGCACAGAAGTGCGTTGTTTGTCCAATTGAGTGTTCATCCGCTCTTTCTCGCGTAGACATTCTTCGTGCTGCTGTAGTAAACGTTGAAAACTATCCATCAATAATTGGTTTTCTTCGTCTTTGCTATCAGTCATGATTGATCCCAGTGTTATATTCGATTGCTTGGCTTCACGTTCTTGTTGTTCGATGTATCGTCTTCTTGTACGTTCGTTTCGCTCGTCGCGTTGAGTTACGTTTGCCGAATCCAGTGATGAGGAGTCTTGATTTGAGTTGTAGAATTTGATCACAGTCCATCCCGGCTAGTGCACCAATTGTGAGATCCAGCTCCCACTCTATCTCTTTATTTGAAGAAAGTGAACGGCTATATACAGTACAAAAGTTGAGCAAGAGTTTTAAAAGAGTTGCGCAAGGATAGAAAGAGTTAGGAAAATCCCATGATGAAGCATGAGTTGCGCAATAACATGATTTTATAATATGAATGCATCTGGGATTGCAGGTCATAACAAAATTATATTTCAAATAAATTATGTTTTTGTATTTTATTTATTTGCAATCATATTCAAAATCTTTTATCAGACCCTATTGGATTTTTTTTGTAGATTAAATATCTAGTCTATGTTTATGGCACATTCAACGAATCAAAACAGCGAAACATTGACTTTAGTTAATGAACTTTTAGAAATATTTTCCGAAACGTATCTTGAGAGAGAAAGATTAAAAACTTTAATCAAAGACATACAATATGCAGAGACTTTATTTCGTAAATTACAGAATGTACTTGATACATATGATAAACAAGGTAAAAACATTGATCAACAAATTCATTTTGCAAAACAAATACGACGAATAAAAATCTACTTAACGTCATGATATTGTTTTATCACTGGAAGATTATTTATCAGCAATTAGAGAAGATTACAGAATAATTCGAAATTATGTTCAAACCTTGGAAGATATCAATATCAAAATAGAAAAAAAAGCTTTACACCGGAAGGATAAAAGTAAAATTAATCAATTAATTTTGCGTGGTGTTGTAGAGAAAATACCAGGTTTAATATATTTTGATCCAACGAATTCTGATGATAGCACAAGAAAATTAAATAACGTGAAAGAATTTTATGACTGTTTTGTGACTTATATATCATTTATTCGAGAATCATTGGAAAATGTTCTTGATGATGATAAATATTGTCTCAAATTGGAAGATATACAATCAAAATTATTAAGCAGGAAACCAATAGATATTAAAGATTATTTCTCGAAAAATTATATCAAAACTAAGTGCTAATCGAGGTTATTCAACTGAAATTTTATTACAAAGTCTCGCGAAAACTCCAATAGTTCATGTAAGTGTCGCAAATGGATCCAAGTTTTATTGTACTATTTTCATTAAAACATTTGATATATTATCTCAATCAAAAACAACATCAAACAATAAAAAATGTATTGTACCATTAACTACGTTAATATTTGAATTCGATTGAGAAAATTTTGAAAAATTAAATCGAGCAATATTTGAAAGCGACACAATTATTGATTTAGTATTCAAATCAGTTTATGATAAAAGTGTTGAATTATATTCCAATGCTAGTGGATGTATTTCAACAACAAGTGCGAATCAAAATGATTCTTTTCGATCAACTACATTCAAAAATGCGAATAAATTAAAAGGTAGATTTTCGGATTTCTTTAGACTTATTTTATCGGAAAAGCCGAATTTATTAGACAGATTAAGAGATTCAGTGATTGAAGAAAAAAATTTCAATGGAACTTTTCATTTATTAGCGGGTATCCATAGTCAACGTATTCAAAGTCTGAATCTGAATGTTTCGGATGATATTATCAATGTGAACTACTGTTTCAATTGTCATTTTTTTGAATCTTTAAAATACCAAGATTTAGATGATGTTCCAAGACCAGAACTATTCGCTCAGTTATTATTCTATACTAGAAATAACCCGTGGAAAACCACGGACGCCCGGCGTTTCATTCATTTTTCGATAACTGATTTATTAACTAATAATAATTAATACCTCGTTTCTGCCATCGGATTCGAGCCGGAAATTCATTTTTCAATTTTTCAATAACTGATTTAATAACTAATAATAATTAATAACTCATAACTCATTTGTGATATCGGATTCGGATTCCCCACCCTTGGTTACCCTCTGATCAATCAAATTTTAGAGTCGTTTGTGTTTTGGGTTTTATCCAATACATTGGCGCTGTTTAGCGTCTTGAGAGCGTTCCGGACAGAAGGACAGATATGTCTGGGCTATTATTATGTACTAGAAATAACCCGTGGAAAACCACGGACGCTCAGCGTTTCATTCATTTTTCGATAACTGATTTATTAACTAATAATAATTAATAACTCATAACTCATTTTTGATATCGGATTCGGATTCCCCACCCTTGTTTACCCTCCGGTCAATCAAGTTTTACAGTCGTTTGTGTTTTGGGTTTTACCCAATACATTGGCGCTGTTTAGTGTCTTGCGAGCGTTCCGGACAGAAGGACAGATATGTCTGGGCTATTCTTATGTATATATATATTCATGCTCATGATAATAAGCAAAGTTCAAATGATATTAAAAAGAAACATAAAGATGGTTTGTTCAATTTAAAAACGGAATTTCTCGAAGTTTACGAAGCAAATAATTATACCAATTTAAACAATTTAATTGTAATTTTAAAAATTATGATCAATATTCAAATGTACGATTTTCGTTTAAAAATCAGTACATCGATTCTTTCTAAATTAAAAAATAAATCCGATCGTGAAAAATTCAATGTGAAAACCGAAATATTAAAACAATTCTTTTTTGTAATACTAAGGATAGTAATGAAAAGGAAGTTTGTTTAAGATTGGCACAATCATTTAATATCCATTTATTAAAAGATGTGTTTGAAGATCGAAATCAGATTTTATTAAAATTATGCAGTTACAATTTCAATTTTAAATTATTTATTGAATTTGTTGATAAAAAGAAAGAATTCAACAAGACTTTTGATATTGGTAAAGATTTAACTGCTGGCTTTAGTATTCCATATTATTTATCGGTTAAATTAACTGAAGATGATCGATACAACAGTAAAAGTAATAATTATAATGAAAAAAATTATCAAATTGTCATGTCAATATTATTCAAAGTATTTAATTGTTCATCGGATAAAGATAAAAAGGGATTTTTAAAAAGTAAAAATGAAATCAATAAAGAATTCGTCAAATTATTTGAATCCATTAATCAATTAACTAAATTTTATAATCAAGATGATCATAAAGAAATTCGCCAAAAACTTCAAAAAAAGTCTATTGGTCACATTTTAGATGGTTTTAGTGGAGCAAATAAAGAAAGTTTAAACGATCGGAATGAATATGCAAGAATAATTATCGATAATTTTATTAATTATAAAATCGAACATGTAATCAAAGTGATTGAATCAACGAATTCAACAGATGAAGTATTCAATACATTTAATAATGTAATGGCGGGAAAAGATGACTATAGTTTAAGTGAATGGGCAGAAAATACAAGTAAATTAGGTGATAAATTATATTTCTTATATTGTTATCATCAATATGCCAAAGCTCAATTTGATGAATGATTTAAAAAATTAAATTCACATATATCCATATATACTCACATATATAAATACAAGAATTTTAGTCGAAGATGAATGTCAAGAAAATAATGAAGCATTTAAACAATTGAATATCAAGTATTTGCAACAAATTAAGTTGGTGCATTAGCATTAATTTATGATCACCTTCAAGATCCAATGAAAAACAAAGAGAATCTTTTTATCAAAATTGGTGTTGGTCAAGGTAAATCTTTAACAATCGCAGAAACAGCTCGAAAAATTATTCAAATGAATCGAAATTTTAGTCGAACAAAACAAGAAGTATTTATTATTGCTTGTTATGATCATTTAGCGAAAAGAGATTTTGAAAATTATCAAAGTTATTACAGACATTTTGGCATTCAATCAATGTATTGTTCAAGTGGTAGTTCAACGAAAGATTTTTCTGATCAAGACGTTATTTATCCTGATTTAGAAACTTATTTTGGTATCTTAAGAAAAAATGGATTCGACACCTTAACTAAATCAGGAAGAATCGATATATCAGATACTAGTGATGCAGTATTAATTATGGATGAATTTGATAGTTTAATTTTGGATTCTCATCATATATTTCAAAAAGTGGTCTATTTTGAATTAAATAATTATCATAGAACAATGGCTCTTGATTGAAAAGAAGATATTAGAAAATTATTTGATGGAGTATTTACAAAACACGGGGAGAAAAAATGTTCACATGTATTGGATCTATGGTGTGAACAATTATTAAATGAAAAAAAGCAAGAAGATATAAAGAATGGTACCAAAACATTTCAAAATAGTTTAGGAAAAGATTGTCGCTTTGTCGGCTCGTTTTTTGAATGATTTATTAAATTACTCCAAAGTTAATTTTGTTCATTTTTACTCGGATCCTTTGATATTTTATTTTAAATTCAAACAAGTCATTGGTTTTTCTGGAAGTATAACAGCAAATGAGATGAATAAATTTAAAACATTATTTGTAAATAAAAAAGCATTCTATTATGAAATTCCACCATTTTTTGGTTTATCAAATCTTCGAAAGAATCGAACATTTGAAAATGCTCCAGGTAAAGTGATTGAAAATAGAGATGATTATTTAAAAGAAATTAGGGAAGAAATAAAGAAACAATATTTGAAATAACCAATCTTGATATTTGCTGATTCATTTAAAAAATCCAATCAAGAGAAAACTGATTTTGAATACATACACGATAAATTAATAAAAGCGAAGGAAACATTCTTAAAAAATTCTACAATTATCAAGATAGTAGAAGAAGCGAATATTAATAAAAATATACATAAAATTGGTAAATTAGATTCAATTACATTAGCAACTAGAATTATTGCTCGTAGTGCCGATATTAAAGTTGACAAAAATATAAAAAAAGGTTTACATTTATTATTGACATATTATCCTGAAAGAGAAAATATTTATATCCAAATGTTTGGTCGAACCGCAAGACAAGATGAAAAAGGTTCTTATTCAGAAATAACAAGATCGGTAAAGAATTTTGCTGATGTTGCTGAAGTCAAAGTTGATCCAATAAAGAAAATCTATCACGACGTCACTGAACATTTTTACAAGAGGGTTCCATCAGATTCAACAGATAAAAACCTGGCTATTAGATGGACTTTATTTTCATGTTTAATGCAACACTTACCCAGAAATGAAATTGACCAAAGTGACCTAATCAATTTTGTTGATAAAAACATTTTAAATTTGTAATTTTTCATTTTTATAAAAGGAAAAAGAATTTTTTCAAAAGCAATACGAGAATAAAATAGCTTAGAAGATTTCGCTACGCATTAGAATTTACAAGATAAAATAGTTCCAGTCAAAAAGCTTTTTATCACCGTGAGAGATTCCCTCGTTCGTTCCGGAGAAGATTTGTATACAGCTCTGATGAGAAAGAAAATCAATTTTATTGCCTAAACATCTTATATCAAGTTTTCTTTTTAGATAAAATGTCTAGAAAGGTTTTGATATTTCCAAATAAAAAAGTTTTTCATGCTAAGAATGAACAGGATAATGATGAATTGGAGAGTAATAGTACACCAATATCCACTCAAGACATCCAGAACACTACCGATACCAATGAACTTGTACTAGGAAGACGTTGTAATGCACTGAATAGATTGCATCAAGCGAATTCAAGCGATGAAACTAGTAGTGCAAGAATGTCAGATCTTGGTTCTAGACCACTTCGGTTATTCAGTAGAAACAATGATATTGATGAGTGCAATGATCAAGCTAATTCATTGAAAAATGATATTGATTTAATTGGACGAAAAGTATTTGAATTAAATACAAATTTAAACAAAATCATAGTTGAAGAAGAACAAAGAAAATAAATTCACATTGGTAACAATTTCGAAATCAATCAACGATGAAGGATGAGGTCACATATGTGTGAACAGATTCTCTATACTTTGTCCTTGTTCACTTGTTCATCTTGATACATATCACCGTATTATAGCTTACATATAAACAAGCTGAACAAGTGTCCTGGTTGGTGCCTTTATTTGTCAGGAGTATAATATTATTTTACAAGAAAATACTTCAATACATCAATGTTTGGTAGTAGATGAACGATCACGTATGAAAATCATCGTTTTTCGCTGTGTTTCTTTTGTTGAACTTTAACAAAAACAACCGTATTAGCAATGATAATAGAAATAATACTTAATCCTGCAAGTATTGAAAATAATAGACCAATTCCAACAGCTTTTATTATTGGAGCAGCAACAACAGTACCTAAACCAGAAAATATAAAGGGTAAAAAGATAACAACTGCAGAAATAGCTCCAGCTTTGTCTTGCTTTTTAATAGTTAAATACTACTACCCACTCTTAATATACCCACTGTTTGTTTCAAATCCATTTTAAGCATAGTTTTCAAGAGATAGTCCCTGAGTAAGTAAATCATCAAGATGTGGAAATAAAAGCTTGACAGTGTCGAGCTAGCGGTATAAACTTTCGAGGTTAGAAAGTAAAGTATCAGGTGAACATGATCAAGATGAACAAGTGAACAAGGACAAAGTATAAAGAATCTGTTCACACATATGTGACCTTATCCTTCATCGTTGATTGCAGTTTTCTTAAAGCAAATTCTAATTGATTGACTGCTGAACCAAGAATTGATACTAATTCATTATCCATATGATTTAAATTCAATGATTGTAATTTTTCATTTAAATATCGAATGCTATTTCCAATATTTAGTTTAATCTCGAGTAAATTTATTTGCTCTTCTTCTATGCTGCACTCTAATCGACTTTGTACTGCACTTGAAAACTGCATCTAGTAAACTGTATTTCAAGGTTCAACACCAAAAAATATTTGTTGGGCGCGAAACGGGACCGATATATCTTCGGTTTCAAGACCCTCATCTTGCAAACCTATCACAGCTCTTTGGTTAACACAGGAAGCCAAGTTTCATACGTCATTCGATTCGCCTTGAAACGAAGATAAAAAGTATGAATCGCATTTTTCGTTCTTGAGATATTTGAATTTTATTAAAATTTAGCCGTTTTCGCCTAAAATCCGGCAAGTCGTTTTTCATTAACTTTTTCAGTTACTAACAGACAATAGGTAAGAAACGATGCTAAATCTAATGGAAACATTTTCAAGATCTCCAGGTGATTTCTGGAAGGTTTCTGGAGAACTTTGTGCCATGTCTCGTACATGATTGTGAGTTTATTTGTGATAAGACACAAGGTGTGTGTCTTAGCATGGGAGGTTTTATGTTTGATGTCGGTTAGTAATACTACTAGGCATCAGACTGAAGAATTGAAAGTGTTATTCTTGAATTGTAATAGCATATCAACATCTATTGAGAAACAATCCCATTCGATATTAACTAAATTCGATCTTTTGGCATCTTATGTTGCAGCATCTACACCTATTCTAGTTGCTGTTACTGGATCGTGGTTAAATAACAATGACCCTGATAGTCACGTGTCTACTTTGGGTTATCAATCACCGATATGTAAAGATCGTCTCTATAGGGCACGTAGTGGTTTGTTAATTTATGCTCGTAATGACGTAAAAGTATCTCCTCGTACTGATTTTGAAAATAATCCATTTGAAACCTGCTTTTTAAACGTACGGTTGTGTTACAGAAAGTCTTTCTTGATTGGTGTACGTTATAGATCCAAAGAACACAATATAGCAAATTTTGTTGATTATGTCATTGCACCGGATTAGAATGGATTTCTCCTTGATTGGAGACTTTAATGGTCACTGCATGAAATGGTGCCCACGAAACCGTCGACTACTGCAGGAAACATATTGTTTGATCTCTCTATCGTCGAAGGTCTGACGCAGCTATTATAACACAAAAGCTGTACCACTAGCGCTCTTTTTCTCCAAAAAAGAAATTATATCATATAATTATTGATCATGTTATCATTGCTGTTGACCTCCTACTCCCTCCCCTTCATCACATGCACTTTTTGAGGACTCCCATCTAGAACCCGTCGGGTCCAAGAATTTCTGGACTCGGACTAGAAACTCTTAATAAAATTTTCCAATCCGAATCTGATTGTCTTTCCGAAACTGGGGTGCAGCAAATCCAAGGCCTTGAGATTTTGGTATCATTTCGTTTGGATTTGAGATTAAGTTTGGATTCAATTGGACATGGAATTGAATTTGTGGGCTTAGGTTTGATTTGGATGTAGTCTCTAATGAACCGAATCCCAAAGATTTGATAAGATAGAGTGTCAGCAACAACGGTCTACTATACTAGATGTGCATCACAACCAGAAAATGATTTTGGGGCTTGGGACCAAATCCTTAGTCTTTCGATTTAGATTCGATTCCAAACCCAAAAAATCATTTTCTGGATGTGATGCACATCTAGTATAATGTACCGTGGTTACTTTTCCTTCGTTATTAGTGAGAACTCGATCAGTTCAAAGATGCAATGCAAAGGTAGAATTCTTTCCGGCGGTACGAAATCCATTACTCATCGCGCGTCTCAAAGGTGTGTCCTGGCTGAAAACTTAACCTGCGATGATGGTCGAGTATTCCTCAACATTCCCATCGTCGTCTTCGAGGTGAATTGTATTATTGATTGGATTGAGTATTAGATCTGCAATGTCTCTTCGTTGATGAGAGAGAATTCCAGCTTCTGAGAGGATAAAAAACTGCTCTGCACTTCTGACTGGTGCCGCCGTCAATTTCAATATGTCTTTCTCAAATTTCTCTACCATTTCACCGTTTCCCGTTTCTGCCAATCTACAACCTTCGAGTGCAAGACCGTTCCGTTATAAACGGCGTTCACGTGTGCAAAACGTATTTGTCCATGCAGAGTATATGGTGTATATTTCTTAATGTCATTTAGCGTAGCGGCAGAATTTTGTGTCATGTGCATACCGGTCATTCTGCTGGTGGTTAGCTGACGTTTCAATGATGTCGGTAGTTGTTCTATCTGAGAACGTAGATGGTGCGCTAATTCGATGTTTCCCATAGCGGCGGCATTATCGGCTTTATGTTCTAATTCCATCATATTTTGGGAATCTTCATGATATAAATTAACCTTCTCCTTGAATGTCATGTTGTCTTCTCGAGCCTGTTTTGGGGTTATGTTGAGTTCTTCAGCAACTTCTGCATCGGTAAGAATGCTAGAGGCATCGAAGCCGATAGCCGAGTCGAAATGCAACGTGCCTGCGTGATACATTCGTCAGTTGCTCACGGGTTTCCTATCCGACGGTAATGGCCGTGAGCACGCACTTTGGTTTAAACGATTTATTATGAAAAAAAAGAAAAGTAAGAAAAGGCATATCAGAGTATCAGAAAACTTAGAATCGCCGAAGGGCATTGTACTTGCATCGAGACTCGACAAATTAACTCCAAAAACGAAAATCTTGGTGTCTGCTTTCAGATGTTCATTACCCGGATCTCCATCAATCAATTCCATTTTCCGAAAGTGGTCGATGAGCGCCTCTGTGTTCATTGGTCTTACATACGAAATATGATGGAGTTCTGGACGAAGCGGATTTTTCCGTTCCATTCCAGTGTTTACGAGCACATGTCGGTCTATTGCCGAGCCTTGTTCGCCTTTTGTTTTGTCGGTGAATTTTACCTCCGGTCGGAGAGGGGTTTTGGCATCTATGCTTGTCACTTCCGTATTGTACAGAAAATGCTGTTTCAAAAATGGTATATTATTTGCAAGCACTGGCAATAGTTTCACTTATGTACAAACGATCAATTTCACCGAGGACAGTACGTGCAAGAAAGGGTTCATCCGGAGTTATACCTTGGTCTAGCCGTTTTTCAACAGCCTCAAAAGTAGCATGCAATGGAACATTCGATATAAACCTTTCTCTTAGTAACTCTTTGTTCTCTGCGACATAATTCAGTATCCTCTGTGCATTATCTAATAGTTTCTCCGACTTACTATTGGCCATTCCCAAACCTTGATCATTGCCCCAAGCGTTTCCATGAGACGAAACTACTTTTGGACCGAGACCGATAGTAAGAGTGTTTACATCATATTTTCCACCTAGATGCATTATCTGGTTGAAGGTATCTGGTCGCTCTTGAGAAAATCGTGCAATTGCTGCTGCGTCATGCATTCCACTCTGTCCATCTCCAACGATAAGGACGTCGTAGATAAATGCAAGAGTTCGATTGAGCGCGGTTGGTTCGTTCGCCGTGACCATCAGTCTTCGATTTCACAAGACAAGACTATTATATCTAAAAAATTATGGCTTTAAACCTTAATTCCCATGTGTAGCTTTTCTGACTAACAATTTTCGAGTTAACGGATCATCGATTTTTTGCTCATTTCTGTTACACATGGAGAGACGATAACACTTTAGCTCGTCGGCAATTCAGCTTTAACTCAATTGTTAATGAACCATCATTCCACGTATATATGTATACATACAGATTATACTGTGCCAGGATAATATGGCCTTAACTGATAGTCTAGGTTCGTAAGAAAACATGTCAGCGTCGCTGTCAGCATACTAATGTGCAGGCACATTAAACTTAGAAAAACTGCCCCACAATATTTTATCCGAGATATATTTACATTTTAATGTCCCGGCACATTACTGACATGACTGAGAGATAGAGCCATACGAGAAAAAATGTCATCATCCGTTTCCGCAAACGAATCTACCGGCACGCTAAACGTAAAAGTCATGTCGACAACAAGTTGAACAGAAAATGAAAGAAAATAATGTGCCCGCACACTAAGGAGAAAAATACACTATGTGAACACATCTTCTCGAGCCTGTTTCGGAGTTATATCGAGTGCTTCAGGAACTTCTGCATCCATTTCAATGTGCAATATACAATTCGCTTCGGTGAAAGACAGGATCATATGACCAAAATGTTACCGTACTTGCGCTCGTACCACTGTGTGGCTCCAATGAACTTATAAATCATGTGACGGTAAGCAGAAAAGTGCTCTACTGCGAAAAACGGATGACATAGTAGAGAATTTGAAGGGCTATCGACCAGCATGCTATAGAGAAGTATATGATGTTTTGTTTGTAGGGAAAATATGACTAAAAGAGTGCTCTACTGGTGTGTTTGGTAGTCGAAGGTTGCATGTCTGCAGTGATTGGCTTAACCAATCAAGATATTCTGACTAGTTCAGTGTGTAGAGAGTTTCACGGGCTATCGACTCATGCGTTTTCTTAGTGTCCGGTAGCGGAACAAGGATGGAAGGAGTAGCATATACTCATCATTAAGGTTGGAGGCTGCCTATGTGAATCGTATTGTCAAGAAATTACCAGGGTTTTAATAAAGAAATGTATGTGATTCCATCTGGGATTGAATAGTGCGGCATTTTTCCTTGATAGGAAGGCAATCTTACTAGAAAAAGAGAGACAAAGTGTGTACTAATGCTATAACTTTTGTGTCGATAGGATAGATTTTTCATACTTTGTGAACGAGTTTTCCACAATCCTGCAACAACAAAAATGCCTTTTCTGCACTTGTATTGCATAAGCACACGCATGTGCCGCACATGTCCGCGCACATATTCATTATATCCGTCATAACTGATAGCAAAGTAACAGCAAATTATTTAACGGAATGGCTATTGCCACTCCCGGCAGTATCAATAAGGAGCTATTGCCACTCTCTGGACGTGTCAATTAAGAAAACAATTAAAGAAGTGAATAAAAAGTGAAGCTAATTGGAAACGGTGAAGAAATGAAGATAAACGCCTTTACGTAAGAAAATATCTATATGAATCTCAGTAGAGGACAAGAGTATATAAATGTCAGTTTAAGTGGTGCGTACGTCTGTACAAATTTGTCTGTTTCATAGGAAGTGTGTGCATAGTGGGGAGAGGGGGGAGAGGCAGTATGAGAGTGAGTTCGCCTACAATATTTTGTTGCCCATCCGAATGAGTTTTTTGAAGAATTGCTTAAAAGATATAATAAGTCATGGAAATAAGTAATAAGTGCTAGTGATCGTTAATGATGATTAATAGTAGATGTTGGAGATCTAAATAAAACAATTTATTAGTGTGCAGCGGACTGCGATCACAACAAGGATCTTAAAAGTTATTTTCTAATTAGCACGTTTATTACGTTCTCGGACAATCTGGTGGCGAAAATGCGACAGATCTCTGCGAATAGTGCATCCTCAACAGCGTCGACCTATAACTGATAGAAAATTTCGCTTACTTGACATATCAAATAATTGTTTTCTTAATTGACACGTCCAGGGAGTGGCAATAGCTCCTTGTTGACTTGGTCGTATTGACCAAGCCATTTTCAAGTCAAAAAGCATGTATACAGTTGACCACTCCACACACTTAAACAAGTCCTTTTTAATCTCTGCTGGGTACATGAGCTGATTGCGCTGGTATTGTACGGTTTGACTAAAAAAAGTCAACAAAATAAACTTGCTTGGAAATTTTTTTCTTTAGTCGGACTATATACTAGTATCATCAGGGATCACGAAATAAAAAATTT